TATCACGATACAAAAACCTAATTACGCAACACTTTCGTTTTTTAAAAAGAATGCCAACCCGACAACACTCAGTTTTTACTTTTTCAGAAGCGATAAGATGAGAAAACATAGAGCGGAACAATTTTACCCGCCTGCTGCAAACATATAACTCACTCCAACATATGTTAAATACATATACCAGAAAGCAAATAGCAAACTTATGCACAGGAAAACCTATTCTGATCATGTTACTCACAAATCTATATTCTACAGAAAAGTACTGGAAAACAGTAGATTTAAAACCATCGGCCAGGGTGATCAAGAAATGTCCTACAACAATGTGCCATGGTGCACCCAAATACAAACTTTCAACTGGTTATGATAAGGATCTTGTGTGGCTTGCTGGATGGAATATTGGACCCATAGTTGCTAGAGTGAACACATTACTGCATTAATAAGAGAAAATGGGCAGTCTTTAAACTAGAAATTGTAAGCATATAACTTGTGCAATGGCTGACAATCCACTATTAACTGAAAAGTGTACTCATAGGGAAAAACAATGTCTGGCAGTATAAGAAAAGTTCATGAATGGAAAAGTTAAACATACCAAATCGTACTTAATATGAGGCTGAAGACATAAAGTGGATAAAACCAAAATACCTGAAATAGATGTTTAGTTATGTAAAACAAAATTGTAAATAATAAGCAATGCATAGATATTCAAAAGAAAATAATGTAATAAGAAAAACACACAGATTATGGTGCCAATGCCACATGTACCATATAAAGTACTACATGGCATGATAGTCACAGTATGTACTATTTTTAGGAAAATAGTAACAGTAAGTTGATAGGTATTAGATAGTTTGTCCCAAGGGATCATGCAGACTAGTGGTGGAGTATTATGTTCATGGAAAACTTTGCAGCATATGGAGAGCCAAGCATGTCACAAGAAAAACAAGGGTTAGTGACACTTTATATATCATGTTTTTATATTATTATTTGTGAAGTTGTGTGAACCTTTATTGCTAGGGAAACAACAAGATTTCTACATGATGTCTATTTACGTGTGTTATTGCAAAGATAAGCGACAACCACTAGATTGTTTTAATGTGTATCTGTTATTCCATATATGTTTCTAAAATAATAATAATCCAAATATCATTTTCACATTAGTTAACATCAATAATCATGTGCTGTTGAATGCCAAAGCCAAATCACTTATTCTTGGATGGACTGCAAGAGACTTGAAACTGGAGAGTTATTTTCAATGACGAAAACAGAGTAACTTTTTTAAAATAAAATAAAATAGCAGCACGTAACAAGTAGCACTCACATAAAAAATCTCAACAAGGCCAGAGCGTAAGAATGAATAGATAGATATGGCTGCGGTGTGCTCACAAAGATGTCCCCGTTTGATTGCATTGCTCAGGTAGTATCCACAATAGAGTTGGAATGACCACCGATTTCAGGGTTAGCAAGCTGTGAAGCAGAAGAAATATTTAAATGGATATTCATGAGAATTAAGTAAAGAACACACAAGAGCTAAGAAGGAACATTCAGAGCAATATCAGCAGAGAAGTGCTGACATGATATGCACAACATAATCTCGTCAGGCTTAAGACATTGTAATCGAACAACTGAGTGATGAACAACTAAGACAAATCCAAAGCCCGATATGCTCTGTGTGGCTCCAAATAGCACATCAAACTCCATCCAGTCCACTTTGCTATTTCATCAGGCAACCTACATCATTCCAGGCAAATGCATAGCGGCGTTGAAGTCACAAAGCATTTTACTGGTACTTGCCATGCTACCCTTGTGGTTTGAGTACATATGACAACTAAGAACAACACTTAAGAGTACAAAATTGTGACACTCTCCTCACAAGCTCTAATAATTTTAAGTCTACCACACACCAAAGTAACAAAAAAAAGTCAGTCGAGAATCAAAATCAATTACGAACGACGGTACCTCCCCAGGAAGATAAGCCCGTTCAGCAGGAAGCACTGTGCAATCCTGATGGATAGTGCCCTCGAGCTGCATCAACCAGAAATCCACAAGGTTATACTGACGAACAAGTAATCGAACCTTTGAGCTGGGTCAGAGGACGCTAATTCAGCCCCCCAAAATCAAATAAAATCACTAGAAAATCGAGAGAGAGAGGGTATGGGACAGAGGCGGAGGAGGACCTGGCGCAGAAGGGAACAACGCGGTGGAGGCGCGCGGCCTGGAAAGAAGCCGGCGAGCCAGAGCACCGCCGCCGGCCTCGCTTGCGAGGCAAGCGACTCCATCGGCGAGGGGAAGAAGGGAAGCGTCTCTCCTTTGGATTTGCTTCGCGAGCATGATTTTATTTGATCGGCAATCATCCGACCCTTGGATTCGAAGTCATCTGAGGCGAAGCCGGATTCCACTGGGATACGTTATCCCCTATTGAAAGCGGTTTCATCTGACCAACGAAGACGTATTCTGCTCTTTGCTCTCTGGGCCGGGCCTCTTCGCTAGGAACCAAGCTGCCTGAGACTGGCCCGTTCAAGCTCCAGTCAAGCACATCGTCGAAGGCCCGACCACGCAGCAAATCACAGCGACTCACCCTCTCGCCCACCACCATACCACACCACCGGCGGCGGCAGTCGAGAACACGAAGACGAAGGCGATGGCGACGGCGCTGAACCGCGGCCTCCGCTCCGGGATCCGCCTCCTCGCCGCCGGCGCCGAGGCGTCCAAGCCAGGCAAGGGCCCCTCAATCCCGCATCCCTCGCCTTGACCTCTCACCATGGGCCGATTAGGGTTGCTGCGGCACGATTCGGTTAGGGTAGGTGTAGTTTTCCGTTGGTCGCGGTGGCGTGGATGTGTGCGGTGGTAGATCCGTCGGCTCCTCGGATAATAGTTCCGGTCGCGTGATGAAATGGTTGGGGTAGCTAATGTTTCGGGCCCGAGATTTGTCCGCGCTCTGCTGTGATTTTGCTTTCGATCGGGCTGTGAGATCAGTCGATATGTTTATGTTCAGGGAATCAGAGAAGCACTGTATTTACGTTTTCTGCACTTTGGTCTTACATGTGATCAATGGTTAGCCTTTGTCCTTAGATCGATAATTGCTGAGTTTGCAGCGTCTGATAACACAGGAATCAGCCATAGCCGATAAGCACTGAATAGTTGAACGACCACTCTGGATACTCTTGTATCATTCCGATTAACCAGTGCGAAAGAGCACTATTCTTGTGTTTTCTGTTTCGTGATGCGTGCTCACAAAATGTTATAATTAGAGTTTCTTTGTCTTGTGTTTTTAAAGGAGCTTGTATCAATTTGTTTGAGGTTTTGTGTCCAGTTTCATTGTCTTGTTGAGGACCTGATAGTGATAGGCCTTTGAGGACATACAATTTAATAGAAATAATGGTTGGAAATATTAACTATGCAACTGGGGTTGGTTATTATTTTGATGCGGCGATGCGCTACTTTGTTGTGCCTCCTTTATAGCAGTGATCAAACGTGGCTATTTACAACAGGCTCATACTACCTTTTGTCACTGCTGGCCCCATGATTTTTAGCTATAGTATCGAGCAAACTGTTTTTCAATCAGAAGAAGCCAATTGTCTTATCTTCTCAGCATTGATTCTCCAATTCATTAGTTCCTATCATATCAATGCTGTAAGGTCAAAATTCCTGTGTTTCATATTTCTTGTCAGTGTTCTGGTGACCAAAAGCAGCTTGGGTATGTGTACGTGTGGAGTACTGGAGATGGTGATCTGGGACTGAACATTAGTGTCTAGTAGTTATTTGGCTTGTTTACTGGATTTCTGATGTCTGAAATTATCATCGGATGAAGCTGTGAAGTTTTCTCTGGTTTAATTCACTTCTGACAAATGATTTAGCACTATGTGTGGATGCATTAGTCTGTTCATCATTTCCTACTCTTTCCATATCATGAAGTTATGTGCTCTTTTTTTTTTCCTTCTGTTCTCCTTGTATATCACCCCAGATATCTGATTTTCTTGTTGTGCCTGCATCAGCTTCTCGTGGATTCCATGCCACTGGTGTGAAGAGAATGGGAGGACATGGCCATGATGAGCCATACTACCTCCATGCCAAGCACATGTATAACTTGCACAGGATGAAGCATCAAGGGTTGAAGGTGACTCTTTCCGTGCTGGGAGCAGTTAGTATCGGTGTTGGAGTCCCTGTGTACGCAGTCATATTCCAGCAGAAGAAGACTGCCTCAGGTTGAGATGATGCCTCTCGTTGCCGACATATTGGAGACTTATTTTCAACAACATTTTGTGAAGTTAAAAGCTTGGACTTCATTCTACCTTTGTTGTTGCCTGATACTGCATTTTCTTACCATAAGTTGTAACCTCGTTTCCTGCGGTTTGGTGTAGGACACAACTTTTCTGTTAATAATATCGTGGCTTGAACTTTCCAGGCTGTGGAGATTGGAGAAACATCAGCACTGATATCGTTTGTTAATTTTTCTGTTTCTTATCACGCTACTTATGCTGACTGCTGAACACGGGTAGCAGGTGTTCCCAAAAAAAAAAAAAAAAGAACACGGGTAGCAGGTGTGTTACCTTTTGAGGTGTCGCTTCCTTTTGTATCCGGATGCTTATGATGCTGCGGTGTAGTAGCAAAGGCGTTTGACTGACCAGTCGCAAAAAAAAAAAGGTTTGACTGACCTGGATCTTTGAAATCAGGTCCCTTTTTTTGAGACTCAATCATTTCTGGAAATTTCAAAAACTTCATTTTAGCAAAATCAGTATAGAGTTGCTACGATGCAAGGACGTTCAAATCTTTCGGATGGACAGATGAGTGTGCATGTATATATCTGAAATTAACGTGGGGCTCAATTTCTCACAAAAATTGTATTTTTATGCAAGTATATCTAAATGAAAAAAGGTCAGCAAAATATCTCAGATTCCGAAGAAGGGTAAATGTGGACCTTTTCCGAATAAACCCCTTGAAACTAGTCAAGTTCCGTGTCCATACTTCCGGCGCGGCGGAGATCGAATCGAGCGCCCGCCACGGCCATGGCGACTAGAGTCCTGCCGCCGGCGCTGCTCCCTCTCATACTCCTGCTGCTGCTCCCGCTCTCAGCCCGCGACACCGTCGCCGCGGGCGAGATTTCCCCACGCGACGGGCGGGTGATCGACCTCGACGAGAGCAACTTCGAAGCGGCGCTGGGCGCCATCGACTTCCTCTTCGTCGACTTCTACGCCCCATGGTGCGGCCACTGCAAGCGCCTTGCGCCCGAGGTACGAGGAACTCCTGCCGACCTGTCGCTTGCTGGTGGTGGTAGACCTGTGAGATGTGATGCGAATTGGGAGTTGAGATACCGTGGGCTGTTGCCGTGGATCTTGGTTTCTGTGTTAGTGCTGTGGGAATGGGTTGATTGGGACTCTGGGATACCTTGTTCTTTGGGTGGGTGGTCCCAAGAACTCGAGCAGATTAGAGCGAAGTGGGAGAGTACAGAACTTACTGTTTTTTTTCAGAATATTTATTCGATTTTTGAACAAAAAAATGTTGTTATTGAGTCATTAAACAAACAGGGAGGTAGTGTGTGACACCACCTGAATTTGGGTACATTAGCTCGTGGGAAAAGACTAATAAGTGCTATTAAGTGCGGTATGTTCGTGACCCATTAGTAGGTTCTCAAATGATACGTTTTGCTTACTTACACTTGCATAAAAGCCGGAACTCCAGGGAATTGGATTAAGAAAATGAAGTTCTGATATGATTCCCTTTTTTGCTGGGGCAGTTAGATGAAGCTGCACCAGTGTTGGCAGGGTTGAGTGAGCCTATTGTTGTTGCCAAAGTCAATGCTGATAAATACAGGAAACTTGGATCAAAATATGGAGTGGAGTAAGTCCTTGCCCCAAAGTATTTTGGTTTCGTTGGGGAATAGATATTCTTAGATTGGATGCCTAATGCTTATTAGTTCCCAAATGCAGTGGATTCCCTACCCTCATGCTTTTTATCCATGGTGTCCCAATTGAATACACTGGTTCGAGGAAAGCTGACCAGCTTGTATGCATAATCTGAAGAAGTTTGTTTGCGCCAGATGTTTCTATCCTTGAGTCAGACTCTGCGATAAAGACCTTTGTTGAGAATGCTGGTACAAGCTTTCCTATGTTCCTTGGTTTTGGGGTGAATGACTCATTGATTGCTGAATATGGAAGGAAATACAAGAAAAGAGCATGGTTTGCTGTTGCTAAAGATTTCTCTGAGGACATCATGGTAGCCTATGAATTTGATAAGGTTCCAGCACTAGTTGCAATCCATCCAAAGTATAAGGAACAAAGTTTGTTCTATGGCCCATTTGAAGGTAATTGCTATCCTTTTCTTGTGTTCGTTCATGACTTGATTTTTTCTATGTTGATTCTTAGTTTGAGAAGTAATTTGAGGCACCGTATATTGTCTTATGGCCATTTAATATACCATACATAGCCATGTTGCTTTCCCCATAATACCATAACTGATGGTGTTGGTTTTGGACATAGAAAATTTCTTGGAAGATTTTGTCACGGCAATCCCTTCTCCCTTTGGTTGTCCCAATCAATACAGAGACACTAAAATGCTGAATGATGATCAGAGGAAAGTTGTTCTCACAATTTTGGAGGATGATTCAGATGAAAATTCTACACAGCTGGTAAAGATTTTGAGATCTGCTGCTAATGCAAACCGTGATTTGGTGTTTGGATATGTTGGAATCAAGCAATGGGGACGAGTTTGTGGAGACTTTGATGTTTCCAAGAGCTCACAGCTGCCAAAGCTACTTGTGTGGGATAGAGGCGAGGAGTACGAGCTAGTAAGTAAAGCATCCTCAGTAATTAATTCTATTTTCTAATACCAGCATCCATATAAAAAGTACTGTGTTACTGGCATGTTCTTACTAGTAATGGCACAGTTTTTCTATCAATAAAAGGTATTACTTTTATAGTTCCTGTTTATTGACCCTCATAATTCCCTGAAAAAGTTAATACTTGGTTAAGATAGAAACTGCTACTATCTCTCTGATAATCATCAAATAAGAATTCATTATTTTCTGGGATTAAATTAAAATGGTTCTTGGTGAAGGTGGATGGTTCAGAGAGATTAGAAGAAGGTGACCAAGCATCTCAAATAAGCCAATTCCTTGAGAGATACAGAGCAGGAAGAACAACAAAGAAAGAAAATCAGCGGCCCTTCTTTCATGGGTTTCCTGAACTCTCTGGTCAGCTTGAGCTCGCTGTGCATCCTTATATTTGTCATTGCCCTTCTGGTTGTCATGGTTTACTTTGCTGGGCAAGATGATACTCCTCAGCCAAGGCGAATTCATGAAGAGTGATGAAAGCTTTGGGAGCTTCATGCACCTAAAGATGACTGATCTACCAGGAGATGTAGCTCAGAGGTTAGATTTCAAACTTTCAACTGGCGCAAAGTCGTTAAAGAGTGGTTTTGGCGATTGATGCTCAGATTCTTCAATCTCTACTGGCAACATCAACTTCGACATCCTGCATGTTTGTGTTTCTGCGTTGTGCCCTTCAATTTGTTTTTTAATTTAGAGCTTAGAAATTAGCCTCTGCCTCTTCCTGTGTATTTTAGACACTGCCATTCCAGAGTCCATTTTCTGTGAAAATATATTTGTTATCATACTCTGCTACTGAACTTTTGTACAATTAATACAGGATATATAGAGTGTGTTCTGGTGCTAAGACTATGAGCCCCTGCTCTTTTTTCTATTGCTGCAGCTGCGGCTGTTGCAGCAGCAGAACAACAACAGCCAGCCGCAGCTGCAGCGAGCGGAGCCGTTACTCGCTAGTTGTCACTAAAAGTGTAAAACAATCATTTTGCTGAGAAATGTTTTTATGCGATTGGTTCAGGTTAAGCTTTATAGTTATGTTGAACCAAACGCTTACCATGAAGCAACCTGGGGCGGGCTTGCCAAATTCTGCCTATATAGATTTGTAGCACAGGCATAAGCAAGGCTCATGCCTCCGGCGTAGGTCTGTTTGGAATGTGAGAAAAAATTCTATTCCTGCATTTCTGTAAAATTAAACTGTTTTCTACAAAATTCTTACCTAATCCTTATAAAATTTAAAATTCAGTATGCTTTTCAAGCATGCCCGTATTAGTCAAAATCTGTTTTGAAATCCATCGGGAGCAGGGCGCCACTGGGGAAGGGAATCGCCGGAGGCCAGCCACTGCCAGAGAAGGGTCGCACCACGGGAAGGAGAGCCTCGGAGGAGGACCGTTGTCGGAGAAGAGGTTGCGCCTGGGAGGAAGAGATGCGACCGGGGAGGTTGGACGGGAGGAAGAGAGGTTCGTCGTCCAAACCCGGCGTCTGCGAGGAACAAATCAACCAAGGAGGCAGGGAGAGAGACCTATTGGTTCAACAAAGGGTAGGAGGAGGAGAAAAGTAGAGGACCAACAAATTTGAGTGGCCAAGTAGTTAGCTTGCCGGAGTGGGTTTTTTTTTACCTCTATTGCCTTAAAATATGCGCCATGTTCGTTTGGGCTTGTTTAGCTGATATATGGCTGAAAGTACTGTTGGCTGATTTGGTGTGAGAGAAAAATATTGTTCGTTGACTGAAAAAATACGGCTTATAAGCCAAAGAAGCTTAAGCGAACAGGACGATGATTGATACTCTGTTTAGATACTCTACTGGAGATACTTTTGGCAGGCCAGTTACTAAGCACTCGGCTAGGGCGGTAGGGCCTGCAGCAACAATCTGCCTCATAAAAAACAGATCCACCTCATCTCTCGCCATGGCAACAATGGCAGCTTTCAACAAGGAACGTGACCATGCTGAGATGGCCCACCGGTTCAAAATATTTAGATATTCTGCAAAGCACGATTGGAACATTCGTGTTCCTGAAAATCAAGAGGAAGCAGCCATATATTCGAGTTACTTCTTTCGAAAGGCGAAGACGTCTCAAACTTCGAGTGGCATCTACCAATGGAGTTACAACAAGAGTGTCCCCATTAGTCTAGCTTAGAGCTAGCTGAATCAATTTTTTATTCACTGAATAGTGCAAAAGATAAGAGAGTAGCGTGGAGTCAAGAGAGTCACACACATTTTCGACACACACAATATGATATAAATGCTATTATCTCTCCCCTTCATGTTTACTAGCTTAGAGCTAGTGTTAGGTTATATTATCGAAGACGCTCTAAGTGCTTGTTGACAACAAATGAAGAGAAGAATGCATGCAATTATAAATGTCCATGTAGCCCGAGGCACGACACGGCACAAAGCCCGCTTTTTTAGCCCAACACGAGCATGGCCCTGACCCGGTGACGTCTTGGGCCCAGTCAGCTGCCCGGCTCGTTCTGACAGGCGTGCAGGCGGTACCAGAACCCGTGGCCGTGGCACTGCACTCTGCATGCTCCCCCTTTTAGGGTTGGCCCGGATGGTGACCGCCACCCTCTCCCCATGGCCCAAGGCGACGCCCAGTGCTCTCCGCCTCCCCTCTCCCCCACGGCCCAAGGCGGCGGCCCAGTGCTCTCACCCCCTTCAGTATATAAGCGGGCACGGCTCCTCTCCCTCCCTCACCAAACCCTAAATCATTCGGTCATCTCATTCCCCACCCAGGCACCCACCCGCGCCGCTCCGCCCTCTTGAGTCGCTCTCGCTCTCGCCTCGCCGTCTCTGGTGACCACCCCCGACTCCGGTGACCTCGATTCGATCCGCCTGCCGCCGTCGAGCCGCTCCCTTCTCCTCCTCCTTGATACCCTCCCTCTCTCTCGTCTCCCTCTCCCTCTCCCTCTCTCCCCTCGACCCCTCTAGATCTTGATGATTATGTGAGTTCTTGTTACTGTCTTCCCTCCGCCGCCGCTCGCCGTCCTTGCTAACGGTGTGTCGTCTTCTCCTAGGGGCCGTCGTCTTCTCCGGCACCGAGCTCCGGTTGCGTAGGTAAACCCTAACCCTAACCCTCTTCTTCTATCTTGATACGTCTCATTGTTTACGATTACATCATTCCTCTTCTTCCTTCATCTCTTTCTGTGAGGTCGGTAGCCGATGCTTCGTCCTCTAGTTGTGGCATAGAGCGAGCAAGGCGACCACTCGCACCGTTGAGGAACGGGGTTGAGAGGCCATGGTGAAGACGATGGCGTCCTTCCACTTGAGCCTAGCCCCCCGAGGGCGAAACGACGGCGACACTGTGACAGCATTTATTTTCGTTGTTCGGTATCAATCTCGGAGAGCGGCTATGCTCGATCGATCACGGAAGCGGCGGCGGTGGTGAAAGGCGACAGACCAGGACCACGGTCGGCTCCACCAGCTCTACTCCATCTGTTCTTTGATCTTGGTACCTCTGTTAGTAAGCGTAAATCTGCTTTGTGGGCTGATTTTGTTGAGATTTATGAGACTGTGAATGGAGTTAAGATTTGCACTAAAGCTACACGTAAAATGTGTAAGAGTACTTTGTCTACTAGATCTCGTCTTGGCATAGGTCACTTGAAGAGGCACGAAATCTTATAAGCAAAAAGCGATCAACGTGCTAGGGTTAAGTCTGAAGCTTGCTTACAATCCTCGATGATTACATGCATAAGCGGGACTATAAACCGGATGTTGCTAGATTTGAGTTGTGTAAGCTTGATTGCTAGGCTTGATCGCCGTTAGGTATCGGTGAGACGAGTCTGGGAGGAGTACATTGTTCGTGCTCATAACCCTAGGTTTGTTAAGGTATCTAGACAGACCACCACGAGAGATCTTAGTAAGTACATTTCTTGAACGTCGTTGTCGGGTTCATAAACACTGGGGTCCCTCACGGATGGCTTCCCAATAGAGGCTCGGCCCGGTGAGCAATGTTGCAAACAAACGCGCAACTCATGGGCCGACCCAAGTACCTAAACGACAGACCAGAAGGGCGATCCAATCACCGACCGGAAGGCCTGGCCGAGGAAGAACGGCACCCGTTTCCGACTCTGGCCCACCTCTCTGACCGGAGCGCTCGCTTCGGCCTCCAGCCCGCCTCTGGATGGCCTCTTCGACCAGAAGGCCTGGCCAAAGCACTACTTCCGACTTCGACTAGGGATACACCAAACCCCTGCACACTGCTCTTCTCCAACTGGCGCATTCAAAGCCGACTGGGACCAACCGACCGGGAACGCCCGCTCGGTAAGGACCAGGAAACGGACGGAGCAAGTAAGACAGGGCGCATAAGTCAAACCGCAATATCGGGACCATACCCTGTACACCTATAGAAACAGTACTCTGCAACCTCCCTGGTACGATAGAACCCAAACAGTTTTGTAGGCGCCAACATTTTCCCCTACAGTATTGTGGGCACCATTAACTCCCATACGGTAAGGCTCCCCCACATGCCTCTAGGCATCGACAGTGTTGTGGGCGTCGACATTTACCGTACCTAGCGAACATGGTAAAACCCCTTGCACGCCTCTGGGTATCAACAGTGTGGCAGGCGTCGACATCTGCCATACCCGAAGAAGACAACACGACCTCCCACGTGCATCTGACATACAACAGTATTGTGGGCGCCTACCATCATCCTGTACCCACCAGTATAGGCAGCAAGGCTTAGTAGCATACGTACTCTCTCCCTCTCACTTGTAAGGCCATCCCCTTCATCTATAAAAGGGGATGCGCTCTCTCCCAACAGGTAGATTCATTCGATCGATCAGTTCACTAGTCCACAACAACAGAACCTCTAGGTTCAAACCACGAGCACACGCTCAAACACTTAGCGCATAGCGGGGCTCCCGTCACTCTTGGCTCCTCTGACCAGAGTCCGACCGGACCTCTTGTACCCCATCTTTCTCCTTCTCGTTTGTAACCCCACTGCAAACTTCGAGCACCTGGGCTCAAAAATAAAGTCATCGACCGACTCAAACTGGATGTAGGGTACGTTGCCTAAACCAGTATAAACCATGTGTCATTGAGTGCTAGGCCACCTCCGATCACAACGTACGGTAAAACTACAAATATTTACGTGTTGGTCACTTTCTGCACCGACAGTTGGCGCCGTTCGTGGGGAAGACATTGTACGTTCAACACTTTTTGATCATCGCATGGCCCATTTTTCCGCCACCCTCGCCATGTCGGGCTCAAGCGATACGACTCGCTTTGGTTCTTTCGGGGTTTCGCACTCCCCACCTGTTGGGATGTGGGTTCCACCTATCTTGAGCCGTCCAGGCCTTCCTCTTGAAGCCTAGACTTCATCGCCGATCGACTCGGCATACTACACCTCGCGAGGCACTTCGTTCTGGCGGCTCGTCGGGCGCCCTCCATCGGCTCCGGAATGCACGGCGACTTCAATGACGAGGCACCTACACTTCATTCGAGCAAACTCTCTACTCAAACCCGGCCGTGAGTAATGCACATCACGTTATTTACTCTCTATTTTCTATCTCCCCCGATTATCCGAGGGGACCGTTTTATCCGCACCGCAAACACCGACGACCGGTTCCCCTATGACCTCGCGTCCCGTGTGGGCAGCGTGCACTCGGAGGCTCAAGGGATTGTCGCCGCCCCTCTCACATCCGAATTCGTGGGAATGGCGAGCTATGCTCCCACCACCTTCCATGAACTCACGGATGGCGAGGTCGAGAGCGGCGGCTCCAAAGATCGATGGCGTGGCACCTAGCCACCATCCATCCCGGGAGTCGCGCTATGGCGGGCGCTCCAGGATAGCCACTGGTGGTTGCGGAGTCTGCACAAACTCACCCCTTCAGACCTACGTGTGGGGGCCCTCGCGCTTGCACAAGGGCATGCCGAGGAGCTACGACAACGGCGGTAGAACCAGCCACCGCCTGCGTTAGTGCGCTCGGTCAAGACGTTGTGCCCCTATGTGCGTGAT